CCCCAAAACCCCAAAACCCCAAAACCCCAAAACCCCAAAACCCCGGTTAGAATTGGATAAGTTGAATAAAGAGTAGCTTCATTATAATATAAGAAATTATACGACCTTAGAGCAGTAACAACAGTTGAATAACCTTCAAAATGTCCCAAATTTCCCCTTAATCTCCATCACCATCCCAACCTCTCAAAAACCCCCATTCTCCCTCCAAACCACTCCCTTCTCTCTCTACCCCCACATCCCACACATCCCCACACTACACCCTAAGCCCATCCACCCCTTCTATCCCCCAACCCCCCCTAAAATCCCCCTCCAGCCCACTTTCCCACTCAAATTCTCCAAATCCATGCACAAATTTCAGCTTAAGCTAAGCCCCTGGTCGCCCAAGAAGAAGAAGAAAGTGAAGTTTAAGGTAAGATTTTGACTGGGAATTTTGGAATTTTGGGCTGTGGATAGAAAGTTTAGGAAGATTTTTAAGGAGTTTTGTTGATTAGAAGGATCTTTTGTTTGTGATATTTAATAAAGAAGGGTTTTTAGTGCAGTGATTTTATGGGAATCAGGGATATTTAGGGTTTATTCAATCGTCCTGATTTCATTGTGCATTAATTCTTTCATTTGTGAGAAGGTTAGCTCATCTATGTCGTTTGAGGAAGTGCTAAGCTTTCCCACCGCCTCTCAAGGGGTTAGCATTGATGGACTCGTGAATGAGTCTGGAGTGGAATCCAAAGGTGACTGGTTAGTTGTTGTAGCACCTAAATTATATAAAGTTTACTTTTACCATCACGTCTGTGATTGATTATCAGCTTCCTCGTACTTCTTTCGTTTGTGTCAAAACTCATGCTGGTGACTCCAAAGCTCTTGAAATTCATCAGAGGAGTTGAATTAGTTTCTGTAGTCTCTCTGCTGTCAGGCTCTATGGTGTACTTAACATTGTCACAGTAAGGGCTTGTGTCATCCAAATTTCTTTCAAGGCCTAAGAGTCCTCCTTGCTTCGAGTAAAGAGAACGTTCCCTCATTCCTTTCAGGCGATTAAACATAGAATTTTCAATTTTGGAAAGATTCAGGTCAATAGTACTTCATCTCGCTTTGTCTTTGGTCAAGATCAATATCTCTAATCGATAGGTTATTTTGAGAGATAATTCGAGACAAGCTGTCACAAGAACGGTATTGTAGTCTATCTTTCTCACGAGGGCCGCTGTTTACTCTTAGAAATGGTCCTTTTGGGACAGTGGACTTCCTTTTCCACAGATTTCCGCTTCCAGGCTTTTTAGAGGCTTCTCTTTTAGGTTGCTGTTTCAAGTCTCTGGCTCTCTCCATGCGAGCGATGTACTTCTGTACGCTGACAGAAGCAAGTTCAGAATATTCTGTAATGTTAGATTCGTTATTCTTGTTATGAGTATTGCTGATGAGTTTCGGCTTGAAAGTGCACTCTTCAGGCTTATTGCTTTTAGCGATTCTTCTGATGGTTTCCAGCTTTTTCTCTCGAGCGACGTTCCAGAGCAGGTTCCTCTCCTCGACAGGAAGACAGAGGTAGTTTGTACAGGCATACTTGTTGTCACCAGTGGTCACGATAATTGTGTTAGTATTCAAGTCATTGTTGTTGCTCGGTATCCCTCAAAATTTGTCCTCGATAAAACTCTCTTGAACCGTATCGAAATTAGACGGATTAGCACTCATAAATTGCTGGGAAGTGGATTTTGTGCAATCATTAATTTCAAGGTTTAGGGGCTCCTTTGCTCCAGATTTAGCCAGCTTTCCTTGAGAAGTCATTGTCTTACTGTCTAAGCTAAGAAAGCTAGGTCTATGAGGCTTAATACTGGGAATTACTTGTAATTTATTTTTCTTTTACCTCTACTCTTCTTTTTCTTGCTTTTTGATTTTATTACTTTGAGAGTGGACTGCTCTAGCTCCTCTGTAGGACTCGATAACTGCATTTTTCTGATTAGTTCAATTCTATTTTTCTGCAGGAGCGAATGATCTCTCTTTGATGCTGTGTTTGTCAACTTTTATGAACGATTTTGAGATTTCTCAGACTTTAGACACTATAGCAATGATTTTTTTTATAGAAAGAGAGTCTTACAGTCATGAGAAACTATCAATTTCTCTTTTGATGGGTCATTTGTGAAATAATTTGCTATATTTGGGTTATAAATGAAATTCATTCTCTCTGGAAACCATTCGAGTGCATTTTAGCAATTATATACTAGCTGAATCACTTACTTTTGTCAACAAGAGGAGATCTGGAGAAATTTGCTGTACTGTCAGTCTGAGAATAATTCATATTCCTTAATTTAAAATTTAACTGAATTCAAAATAATCTTAGGAATTAGGGGTTTTGGGGTTTTGGGGTTTTGGGGTTTTGGGGTTTTGGGG